CCGGGCGTATTACTTCGGGGGCTAGAGTGCGCCCGGCGCGGGGCCGGGCCCGGGGGGTTCGAAGCGACGGTGCGACAAACGCCCTACTTCTTCGTCGCGGCCATGGTCTTGCCGCGGCGGCCCGTGGACTTGGTGTGCTGGCCGCGGACGCGGATGCCCCAGTAGTGGCGGAGGCCCCGGTGCGCGCGGATCTTCTTGAGCCGCTCGAGATCCTCGCGGAGCTTCTGCTGGAGCGTGTTCGCGAAGGCCTGGCTGTACTTGCCCGTCTTGTAGTCCTTCTGCCGGTTGAGGAACCAGGCGGGGATCTTGAACTGCTTCGGGTTCTGGATGATGGCCACGAGCTTCTCGACCTCGTCCGCGGTCAGTTCGCCCGCGCGCTTGTGCGCGTCGACGGCCGCCTTCTTGCAGACGACGTTGGAGAATCGCCGGCCCACGCCGGGGATGGACGTCAACGCGAACATGACCTTGCGGCGGCCATCGATGTTCGTGTTCAGCACGCGGAGGATGTGCTGGAAGTCCGGCGAGATGACGAGGCTGCCGCTCGACATGGTGACCTGCGGAGGCGGGGGCGCGTCGAATGCGGCGCCGTTTCGCAGCGGCGCGCGTCGCCTCTCGCCCGGCGTCGTGCGGCGGCGGCCCCCGCGGCGCGCGGCGGTCGCCGCGGCGGCGGAGCGTCGGCGAGCGGCGCGGGACCGTCGAGGCGCTGGGAGAGCGTCGGCGACGCTCTCCGGCGAGATCTCGGCGCGCCGTCGCGTCCGCTGCGTCGTGCGCTTCTCCGCCGCGTCTCCGCCGTCCGTCGCGCCCTCTGCCCCCCGCGCCCGCCTCAAAGTGGACGCCGCTCCATGCGCTCGCCCTAAAACTCGATGCACACTCGCCGTCGCCGATGGGCGAGTGGCTCGCTGCCGCTTCGGATCCAAGGCAATGTTGCCTCACGCGCGGCAAATCGGCGTCGGCGCACGTCGGCCGCAGTCGTCGCACGCGCTGCCGAACGCTAGCTCGCAGCGATGGATTCCATGAGCATCGATTTGGCCGCCGGCGTCTGCGGCTTCGCGGCGTCGGCGCTCATGAGCAAGTCGCGCAGCGTGCCGCCGCTCTGCTACACGCGCGTCGGCATGGTGCTCTGCGGCTCCGGCGCGGCGCTCGCGCTGAGATGCAAGGGCGCGGCCAAGGCCGGCATCGCCTCCGTCGCCGGCGCCGGCTGCCTCCTCCTGTTCGCGCGCTGGGACAACGCGCGCGCGGAGCTCGCGCCGAGGTGGGAGCCGCACGGCCGCGGCGCGACGGGCGCCGGCGGCGCGGCCTGGGCCGCCGCGCTCGTGTGGTGCGAGGGCTGCGCCGTCGGCGCGGCGCTCCACCCGCTCTTCGCCGCGTCGAAGGCCGCCGCCGCGGCGACGTCGTTCGTGCTGGGGTTCCTCGCGTCGCGCGACGGCGTCAGCCACCCCGGCGGCCCGCGGCCTGTGCCCATCGGCCGCCTGCCGTCCTGGGACGCGTCGAGGAAGCGCGAGGCCATCCGCGGCTGGAAATGCGCCACGGGCGACGCGAGCCACGCCGCGACGGACGGCGCGAGCGCGACGGTGAAGCTCACGGGCGAGGCCGCGGGCCGGCAGATCTGGCGCTACGTCGGCGAGGCGAACGACGGCGCCGACGGCGCGGAGCCCTTCGACCCCGCGGCGAACCCGAACGCGTCGGACCAGCTCTACCGCCGCGAGCGCCTCCGCGCGTGGCGCGCGTCCCACCCGCGGGAGGCGCTCCCGGCGGAGCCGCTCGCGAAGGCGCTCGCGTTCTACCAACAGCTACAATGCGACGACGGCCACTGGGGCGGCGACTACGGCGGCCCCCACTTCCTGTCGCCGGGCTTGGTGGTTGTGTGGTACGTCACGGGCCGGCGCGACGACGTCCTCGACGAGCACCAGCGGCGGGCCATGGTCCGCTACTACGAGAACCACCAGCAGACCGACGGGGGCTGGGGCACGCACGTCGAGTCGCCGTCGACCATGTTCGGCAGCGTGCTGACCTACGTGGCTTTACGGCTTCTCGGCGAGCCCGCCGACGCGCCGGCCTGCGCCGCGGGCCGCAAACTCATCCTGGAGCAGGGCGGCGCGTGCTACACGTCGTCGTGGGCCAAGTTCGCGCTGTGCCTTTTAGGCGCCATGGACTGGGAGGGCCACGAGTCCGTGCCGCCGGAGATGTGGCTGCTGCCCTGCTGGTGCCCCTTTCACCCCTGCCGCATGTGGTGCCACGCGCGCATGGTCTACCTGCCCATGGGCTACCTCTGGGGCAAGCGGTGGACCTACGAGAACGCCGACTCGGACCCGGTCGTGCTCGCGCTGCGCGACGAGCTCTACCCGGCGTCGCCGGCCTACGGTGCCATCCCCTGGCGCGCGACGCGGTCCTGGGTCGCGCCCATGGACGACTACTCGCCCGTGCACCCGCTCATGGTCGCGGCGCAGCGGTTCCTGAGAGTCTACGAGGACCTCGGCGGCCCGCTCCGGCGCTACGCGCGCCGCAAAGGCCTGGCGTTCAGCGCCGACTACTGCCGGGCCGAGGACCTCCAGACGAACTACGTCTGCATCGGCCCCGTGAACAAGGTCTACAACATGCTCGTCGCCTACGACGACCGGCACGCCGACGGCGGCGAGGCGCTCGCGCGCCACGCGCTCCGCGTGCCCGACTACCTCTGGGTCGCCGAGGACGGCATGAAGATGCAGGGCTACAACGGCAGCCAGTGCTGGGACGCGTCCTTCGCGACGCAGGCCATCGCGGAGTCCGATTTGGGCGACGACGCGCGGTTCCGCGACTGCGCGAAAAAGGCCTGGTCCTACCTCGAGCGGACCCAGATCCTCTCCACGACAACCTCCCAGGCGTCGCCGGCCTTCGCCTTCGAGGCGCCAAAGCTGCGCGAGCGGTACTTCCGCCACGTGTCCAAGGGCGGCTGGCCCTTCTCGACGTCGGCGCACGGCTGGCCCATCTCCGACTGCACGGCCGAGGGCCTCAAGAGCGTGCTCGCGCTCAGATCCCTCGCGTGCGTCGGCGAGTGCGCGCCCATCGGCTACGAGCGGCTCTGCGACGCCGCGGACGTCGTCCTCGCGCTGCAGAACGCCGACGGCGGCTACGCGACGTACGAGAACACGCGGGGCTACGGCTGGTACGAGTGGCTCAACCCGTCCGAGGTCTTCGGGGACATCATGATCGACTACTCCTACGTGGAGTGCTCCATGGCGTCGAACGGCGCGCTCGCGCCGGGGCAGCAAAAGGGTGCGAACTTCCCAACTTCAAAGGCTCCTATCTCGGCCGTTTTCCACTCGTTTCGGCTGATTTTTGGACGAGCGATCATCTCTCGGAAGAGTCTCGAAGCGTGGATGTTTTTTTTCCGGAACGCGCGCGCGCGGAACACTCACGTTGAAGCGACGTTGAATCACCCTTTTGCTGCCCAGGCTCGCGCGCTTCCGCGAGGCGTGCCCGGACCACCGCGCGGCGGAGATATCCGCGGCGCTGAAGCGCGGCAACGCGTTCCTGCGGTCCATCCAGCGCGCCGACGGCTCCTGGTACGGCTCCTGGGCCTGCTGCTTCACCTACGCGGGCTGGTTCGGCATCGAGGGTTTAGTGGATTCGGGCGAGGACCTGCGTGCAAATCAACCAGCGAGCTGGGACGTCGGGGCCAAACTTCAGAAATCTCTAGCTCGGTCACATCGAAGTCGATTCGGCAGATTTTTGGACGAATCGATCGCTCTCGTCGAGTTCTCGAAGCAGAGCGGAAGTAATTGTGTCAAGACATTCGAATACGCTCACATTGAAGTCGGGTTGAAGATTTGATTCGCACACAGGCGAGGACCCGAAGACGTCGGAGCCCGTCGCGCGCGCGTGCGCGTTCCTCCTGCGCCACCAGCGGCCCAACGGCGGCTGGGGCGAGGACTTCACGTCCTGCTTCGACAAGGCCTACGCGAAGCACGGCATGGAGGCCTACGGCGACGCGGAGGGCGCGGGCGTCGTCTGCACGGGTTGGGCGCTCCTCGGCCTCATGGCGGGCGCGTGCGCGGACGCCGACGCCGTCGCGCGGGGCGTCGCCTACCTCGAGGCGCGCCAGCTCCCGGACGGCGACTGGCCCCAGGAGGGCATCTCCGGCGTCTTCAACCGGTCCTGCGGCATCACCTACACGGCCTACCGCAACGTGTTCCCCATGTGGGCCCTCGCGCGCTACAAGAACTCCTACGTCCCCGCCATGGCCTCCGCGTCCATCAACTAGGCGCGTAAGATTCGGCGGGGCCGGGGAGCTGCCCGCGACCGAGCCTCGCCGATCCCGACGGCCCCTCCGAGGGCCGGCGTTCCGACGCCGGCCGCGCCCCGGGCCGCGACCTCGTTCTACGAGGGCGGCGCTCCAAAGAGCGAACGCGCTCGTCCGCCGCCGTCGACACGACGACGCGTCCGTCCGGAGTCGACTCGAAGGTTTTTTACGGAGCTATTGCTGCATGGCGTCCGCGGCCGGCGCCTCCTCCGCGGCGGCGAGGCGCTCCCGCGCGCGCGCCGCGGCCTCCTCGAAGATCATTTTCCGCGAACCCTTCTCGCCCGAGCACGCCGTGCCCGCGAGATTCCTGAGCGACGGCGCGGCGCCCTTCTTGTGCTTGCTCGTGCGCGCGAGGGGGCGCTTCGTCTGGCGCTTGCGGGCCTTGAAGCCCGACGACTTGTGGCTCTTCTTCGGGGTGGCGCCTACGAAGGATGACCATGGTCCGTCGTTTTCCCAGCCGCAATCTCTCGAACATCGTCCTAGGGACTCCTGGTGAGACGCCGCGGCAAGCCCATATCGCTCTCTGCAACAAAAAATTGTTGAACCTCTCGCGCAGAGCATGGTGGCGGCTCTCGCCATGCGTCAGCGCGCCTTCGCAACGCTGCCTTTCCTGCTGGCTGTCTCCGCGTTCCACATGCCCGGCACGCGTCTCGCGACAACGGCGCGAAACGTGCTGCAGACGGGGTCGGAAGTCGCGTGGAAGGAGTTCGGCGTCCTCCCGCCCGGCGACTGGCGCACGGCCGAGGGCCCGGCGTCGAGCGTGATCGTCGGCGGCGGCCCGGCGGGCATGGCGACGGCGATCATGTTCGCGAAGCGCGGCTGGCGGAACGTCGTCGTCGTCGACCGCCTCCGCGCGCCGCCGGACCCGGGCGACGCGGCGATCTGGGGCGACACGGCGCGGTTCTACCTCGTGGGCCTGGGCGCGCGGGGCCAGCGGTCGCTGGCGGCCCTCGGCGCCTGGGACGACGTCGAGCGGTACTGCGCGGCGGTCGTCGGCCGCAAGGACTGGGCGCCCGGCGCGGGCCCCGACGAGGGCGCGGAGCGCATCTTCACGGACCGTCCCTACACGACCCAGGTCATCGCGCGCGACCGCCTCGCGGGCGCGCTCTACCGCCACGCGCTGGCCACGTACCCGGACGCGATCTCGTTCCGCCACGGCGTCGACGTCGACGACGTCACCGAGTCCGCCGTCGTGCTCGCGACCGGCGAGGAGCTTTCCGGCGACCTCGTCGTCGGCGCCGACGGCACGGCGCGGACCGTCGCCATGGCCCTCGAGGACACGGGCCGGGGCACGCGCATCACGCGCTACGCGGACGACAACGAGCGCATCTTCAAGACCGTGCCGCTGAAGCTGCCCGCGGACTGGCGCGGCGACATCAACTACAGCGCGCGGTCCGTCGACGGCCGCCTCAACTTCGACGCGCTGCCCGCGGCGAAAGGCACGAACGAGTACTGCGCCGTGCTGCTCCTGAAGGCCGACGACGCGCTCGCGCGGGAGGACGCGGACGTCGGCGAGCTGCGGGCGCTGCTCGACAAGGAGCTCCCGCAGTTTTCGCCGCACGTCGACGACGCGACGCTGCGCGCCGTCGCGAAGAAGCCGTCGAGCCGGCTGCCGGGGTTCCGCTTCGTCGGGCCGAAGCTGCACCGCGGCGCGAACGTCGTGCTGCTCGGCGACGCCATCCACACGGTGAAGCCCTACTTCGGCCTGGGCGCGAACGCGGCCTTCGAGGACGTCGCGGAGCTCGACGCGGCGCTGAGCGGCACCGCGCGGGGGTCCGTCGCGCTCGCCGCGTTCAGCGCGAAGCGGGGCCCCGAGGCCAAGGCGCTCGTGCAGATCTCGCGGGGCCTCGACCGGCCGGGCGTCCTCGGCTTCGTCACGTTCATCCTGCCCATCATCCTCGACTCCGTGTTCCACGCGGCGCTGCCCAGAGTCTTCGGGCCCAACGTCATCGCGTCGCTGCAGCAGGACGGCACCTTCGTCGACGTGCGGCGCCGGAAGCGCCGGGACCGGCTGCTCCAGGCGGGGGTCATCGGCTCGTGCCTCGCGGCGGCCGGATTCGCGGCGAAGTTCGCCATATGCCACGCGCTCGCGACGCCCCTCGCGCGGAAGCGCGCGCTCGTCGCCGCCGGCGTCGCCGCGCTCGCGGTCGCCGCGGCGAAGCTCAGGGCCTACCTGGACCCGGCGCTCGCGCCCGCGGACGTGCTCACGAAGAGCAAGTCCCCGGTGACGAACTCGAACGAGGACTTCCTGGCCGCGGGGTCGCGGTAGTAAGGCCCTTCTGGTAGACACGTCTGCCAGTGGACATTTTGCGAGACTCTGGGGCGCCTGCCAGTGGCCGATGTATACGTGCCGATGTTGCGGAGCAGACTTTTAGACTCGGAGGCCTCTAGAGACACTAGAGCCGGGCGCCAGAGTGGCCGGGCCGATGTTCGGCGCAGATACTGAAGATCGC